TTTTTTTTTTTTTTTTTTTTTTTTTTTTTTTGGTACCGGGGATTGAACTTGGGTCTTTGCGCTTGCAAGGCAGGCCACCGGACCGCTGAGCTAAATCCCCGGCCCTGGAGTTTATATTCCTAAGGGAACACAACTGGGACATAATTAAACCGAAGAGGGAGATGAAAAGCGGGGGAGAATGGCTAGGGACGGTAGAAAGAGGCTGGTGGGTGACTGTGGTGGTCAAGGGACACTGAAGCAGAGGAGACCAGAATGTGGAGGAGGAGCCGGCCAAGGAAGCTCCTGCTGGGGACCCACAGAGACAGAGGGGGGCCCAGAGGCCAGCTCCCCCAGCTCACTCACTGTGAGGTCTGGCGCGCTCCTGCCTTCTTTGCCAGATGGTCCTTAGGATTCTTTCCAGCACAAAATCCTCCAAATCCTACACTGCCTATCTATGTCTTGGGGAGGTTGAAAGAAACATTAAGAAGAGTCTGAAGCATTTTCATGCATTTGGAGGAGCCCTGAGTCACGAATCAGTGAGGAGGAGAGGCTGGCCAAGGCTGAATATGCGTAGGTCAACACCAGGCGTGCCTAGGAGCCCAGGGAAGCATTCTGCGAATGTTTTTGCTGTCCGCCTTGCTCTTCCCACTGACATCGCCCCGTGTGCTGCCTCCTGCTCAGCACTCTGCCTGCCGAGCACATGGCAGCCGTGTGAGCTGTGCACTCGCCCCATGTCACGGTTAGGAGGTCTTAGCCAACGGTAGGTATGAAACAGGGCCTCGGTCTGGCAGCCTGAGTTTCCAATGGTTGTGCTGTGCTCTGCTAGGCTGTGTAGAGGAACTGCACCAGAGATGCAGGCGCACAGCCATAACCCCAAGCAGGATCCAGAGGTGCACACAAAAATCCGCCTCCAGCCCTTCTTGGCTCCCAGTGCCACTCTGCAATTTCCTAGACATCCTTCTAGGGACATTCTACCCATACATATACTACATGCATGTTTGTGTATAATGACTGCTTATTTTTTCTGCAGGTAGCTATAGCTAACATGCATTTCTCTATGCCTTGTTTTCCTCTCTAGGCTATTTGGGAACAATTCCAAGTTACTACAGATGGGTTGGACTCATTCTTGGTGACTTCTTGTTGCTTTGCACGGGAGAACCATAATTCATAGGACCATTATCCTATGGTCAGGCATCTGTTGGGACAAGTGTGACAAAGTCTATGGACAGGTTCCTGGAAAGGGATCTGCCAGGTCCATGCCTGTTTCCATCCGAGTAGATGTGGCTACTCGGGCTCACTCTCATCTACCATCTGCAGGGCTCAAGGCTGCACCTTCTCCATACAGAGCGATCCCAGGGTGCTGGCAAACTCGTGATCTGCCCACAGGACCAATGCTTCCTTTGCACCCATGATGCCTCATTTGTTCTGTTCTCGTTGTAAGTGAGGCCAGGCAGCTTTTCACACATTTTCCAAGCTGACTGTCAGGTCCTTTGCGATGAGCACAGCTGTCTGTGGCTTTGGTATAGTTCTATCCTGCTCTTCACAGCTCTGCTGGGGGCCTGGGGAGTGGGTTTGGGATGGGGACTGTGAGGGGTTGCAGGAGGCTTGGGTCTAAGTAAGACCAGCCTTACATCTAGGTTTCCATGTAACCTTGCTGAAGGCATTTGACCACCAACGGCACAATTTTCTTCTGAAAGAAGGGTTTGGATCAGGTGATCCTAAATATCTATGAATGTCTGGTTATCAACATAGATAGTTGTGGCTAGAGGTCTGCTGCTCTCTCAGATGGCGATGGATCTGAGGATTAGAAGAAGGACTTTAATTTAGATGCCATGGACAACTTTCTGGTGTCTCAGGACATTCAACTCTGGAAGAGATGACAATCATCAGCAGTGGAATATCTTTCTAAGGCAGAAAACTTTGCAAAGACGATGCCCTATTTTTCCTACTGGGAAAAGTTTCATTCTGGCCCCGAGATGAGGATTTGGAGGCAGCGCACAACGGAGTCTTTGCTGGTCTCCGTGCTCGCAGGTCTGACATTCCTGTAGCTGTGTGTCAGGTCCACTGGGGACGCTTGGTCCAGTGACCTGACTCACCCTGGAGTTTGTGCGTTATTTAATTCCCTGACTTGGCTCATTACATGTCGGGAGCAGACACACTGTCAGGTCTACCTTAATGCATTACCAAAATTAGCATTATTGAAAAAATGAACTGCAAAGGAAACTGCTGATGGTAATCAATAGCCCAAGTGAGTGTAGTTGAAGGAGGTCAAAGCTCAGCAAAAGCAGCTTGATGGCTGGGCACCCCTGCCACACAACCAGCTTTCTCAGGGGTGACGTATTTTGGGTAAGAGTTTTCCAGGTAAAGGAAGCAGCAACTAACTGTTCCGATCCCCCAAACTTCACTCCCTGTCACACTAGTGAGGGGCACCCTTGGGAACGCTTTGCATGGCTTCCTGCTGCCCTGATCTGGACCCACGCAGCATAATTTCATCTTATCTTGATGACTTCAGGCCCTGTTGGTAACATCCATTACTAAGGCAGGAAGCTGACTGCTCCTTTCGCAGAGTTCTAGAATATTCGTGTCCGCAAGGAACTTGAATTACTCAGCCTGACCTCCTTGGGGCAAGAGGAACCTTTAGAACCCTCCAAAGCCGATACCACTGCCACCAGGGGATTGCAGATAGGTAAGTTAATGAGACAGCTTGTAGGCAGTTAGATAGGGCTGGCCCTTGAGAGGCCAGTGGAGAACAATCAAGGAGCCAATATAGAGGACAATGAAGACACATCTGCTGAGGGCCAACAGTATAAAAAAAGGAGAAATTACTGTACCCTCATGCTTACCCTGAGGATGAATAGTAGTGACTGGTATTCTAAATAGGTATGGATCACCTGAATGGGGGGCAAGCCTTTCCAGGAAATATCCCTTACTGAAAATCCTTGTAGCTTGCTACATGACTTGCTCCCCCATTTGACCTCCCTCAATCACTATTACTTGGGAGATTGTACTTGTAGTCTTATTGGCTGCTAGTGGTTTTGCCCCACCTCATCCCCACCTTGTAATTTTCCACTGGGTCTTACAGTTTTATCCCACTTCGTACGGGCTTCACCACATGGCTTGACTGAAAAACCATCTTGGAGAAGTGGGGTGATGTGGCAACCCACTTTCCGGCCCCCCTCTGTCTCTCTTAGACAGAAGCTTTCTTTATCTCACGAAAATTTTCCTACTCTTAACCTCCGTTGTTCCTAGAATTCATTCTTCGATTTTAGAGAACACAAACATGTATTTGGGAGTTACATCTCTTCCCCCTACAACAAGGGGACTTTAGAGGCCAGAAGACCCAGATCCTGCAGCCAGCTGGGCCTGGGACGCTGTGAGTCTCCTGGCTTGCCTCCCTTTTTATTAAGCCCCTCCATAGCCCAGGCCCTGTTCTCCATGCTGAGGAGTTC